CTCCATTCATCTGTATTTTTATCCATCAGTTTCCAAATCCTACCGTGGAGGATTCTACCTCCTTTTTTTCCTGACTCAAACATTTGTACTTGCATGTGGATTTGCATATCTGGAGCAAGGGCATAATTAAGAACCGAGAGAGGGGACAATTAAATTTTCCTGTAGTTCATAAAAGCCTCTGTTTCTGAGCTTGCAAGGGAAGTCTAATATCGCCACTAGGTATCACAATTTCTGATTCATGGGGAAGATGCATGCCAAAAAAAAGCCCACTTCACTCCAGAGCTCTCACAAAGACCACATTTGTAGCCATCTCATTTGCAGCTCCTTTCACATGTCCCACCATCCAAATCTATGTTATCTGGCAAAACTGAACTCCTCAACTTTCACTAAGTCCTGCCTCCCCAACCTGTCTTTGCCACCAGGGTAAATAACACCACTATCTTCCTTGTTCGTTGGGACTGCAGTCTCAGAATCACCCTTGATGACTTCTTTTTTTTTTTTTTTTTTGTCCTTCAGAGAAGCTGTTGCCAGATCGTGTCATTTCTTCCTACAGAATGTCAAATGTTATCCCTACTGCCAAAATTCCTGTTCATGCCCTGATTATTTCCCACTGTAATTCCTTCTCTGGCTTGCCCAATACCCACCTGGCTCCTCTCCAGGCCATACAAATGAAAACACCGTCAAACTCAAATTTCCTACATGCTGCTCTGACCTTGGCACCTCCCTTTTAAGCCCCTTCACTGCTTCCAAATACCCTCCATACTCCTTATCATTTTAACAGCTCTGCACAGGAGTTTCTGCATCACGGCTTACCTGCTACTCTGCAGACTCTGCAACTTTCTTTCTTACAGCTTCTCAAACATGTCCCACCATTAGCATTGGCTTGGTTTTGGTCCTGCACTCTGCCAATTCCATTTTCCTCCAAGCACAGTTTTTGTCCAACACTCCATATATATACAGCAAAGGGAGACTAATCCATTGCTACTGTACAGCAATGAAAAATGATGTTAGTGTCACTTTGGCTTTCTGCCACTCATGTTCAGAAGACAGGGCCTGATTCAAAGCCACTGAAATGAATGGACTCAGACTCACATTCCTCAGCACTGGTTTTCTTGAAGCCTTCTTTTGAAATTTTGTCAGAATGAAAGACTGCTTCTTCATTCATAAAAAATTAAACATCTAGCAGAGTGTCATAAAAAGCTTAGAGAAAGGCAGTGATATATTACATTTGTGTTAAAATAGCAGAGCACCATCTGCAATGTATTGAGCTTTACAATTGAACCAACAAAGGTGAGTACACTCTGATATTTCACAGAACTGCTCATCTAAATGCTAGCTTAATATCTAATAATGGTGAGCCAAATTCATCCCTAATGCAACTTGCCCACCTTTTAGCAGTATATGTATTCAAAGTGTGGAAACACATTCAAAGATGCCTCAGCACGCTCTTTATTTCTGTTTAGAAAAAACTCAGGCCGAAGCAAAAAAGTTACTTGAAACAAATTACCATTACACTGAACCATTTTTAATTTGCTCTTCTGGTCTTTAAGTACCAATGCCCCAATCCAATAAAGCAATTACACATGTGCTTAACTATGAGCATGTGTTTAGACACACTGAAGTCAATAAGACTATTCATACTTAAACGTTAGCATGTTCTTATGGCCCAGATCATCAGAGATATTTAGGCACCTAATTCCCATTGACGTTAATGGTAGTTAGGTATCTCAATACCTTTGATGATCTGGACCTAAGTACTTTGCTGGATCGGAATCCAAATTCTGCATTAATGTGCACTGTAACCAATTGAAGCCAAATGAAACTGTACACAAGCATCAAAGGCATAGTTTGGCACTAAAGGAGTTGGATGTTTAACTTTTAAGATTTTTTTGGCTTTGTCATTTTCTTGGGATTTTAGCTGTAAGAAAAGGAATGAACCAAGGAGGAGCTAGAAACTTTCTATTAATAATTATCACAGCACAAAAATAACAGCTTGGTTGTTTGTGTTAGAATAAAGCATATATTAGACTCTGCTGGTTGAACCACCCTTGTAATTGGCCCACTGTACGTGGAGAGAAACATGAGGTGACATTAATCTCTGTTACTTTGTTTAAGTGACCCAGTTTCCAAGGTCCTGTGTCTGAAACTGGTAGAGATATATGGCTACAATTTCCTTTTTTTTTTAAATTGTGTCTTAAGCAATGTTGCCAACACTATATTTATTGTTTAATTTGTAGTCTGCAGAGAATGTGGGAGCAAGTCTGCTGCCAGTGTCACCACAGAATTTGGAATGCCATTTTTGTTACAGAAATCACTCTGCCAAAAGTTTGCTTAAAGAAATCTACTGATTCATTTACAAACATCAGAGTTTTAGAATTACAGCTTTAGCTGAATGCCCTACACAAGGAAAGTAAAGGGGATATTGAGCACATTTGTCACACTTCTTTCTGGTTCTTGTGGAGGTGCTGGAAGTCTATTTTCCCCAAAACGCTAGTAACACTCCAACGTGCTGTCTCTTGCTGATGGCTCCCCACCATTTCTGGATAATGTCTGTAGAGGTATGTTAAATCCTGCCTGGTTGGAGCTTGTATATTGTTATGTAACATCCTAAGGCTTATATTTAATTCATGTCTTGGATAGAATATAAAGTAGGGACATTATAAATGTGTATTATTTTAATTAAAGAAAAAATAATTCCTCAGCACTTAATACCGTAGCCAATCCCTAACCATGTTTGATGCTGAAATTGGTAATATCTGCAGTGTGCCATGCTGGGTTATGATACTGAAAGGGAGACAGCCATAATGTTAGACTCTACAGACTTGCAAAAGAATTAAGGTTCAAATGATCAAGATGCTGATTATTCTTCTTATCATAGTTATTGGGGAGACCAGATTCTGCATAAGATTCCATTTTTAATTTTTGAATGAAAGATGGATCTAAATTGCAAAGTTCAGATTCAGATTGGGATCTGAGTTGAACTTCTGTAAAGTTCAAGAGGGCTTATAGCTGGTGTTCCAGTGCAGTCCTATCCTTGTTTTTTAATACTTTCTGCATGATGCTGAACAGTCTCCACTATTATTGGATTGATGTATTGGGAGACGAAAACATGCAACATGGGTGATACTCAATGGCTAGGCAACATTTTTACCACAGTTAAGATTGCTTCACCATAACCATTATATTCCCAATAAGCAACCAAACAAAATTCTAGGGAGTGAAAGTTACACACCTGGTTCCAGTGTCTTTGAAAAATTGAATAAAGATGAAACACTGAGAGAGAGGCTGTGAAAGGGTTCTGTTGTCCAGCCAAGTGTAGAATCTGACCTTGTCCTCACCTTAAAATGACATGTTAAAGGAAGCGTTGGGGATGGCTCACTGGAGAAAGAAGTGTTTTCCATTCATTCGCATGAGTGTGGAAGCTATTTGGCAGAACATAAAACAGGTCAGGATCAGAGCTAGCCTTGTAAAACCTATCTGCCCTTCTTTAAAAAGAGTCTCTTAATCCCTTTAGAAAAGCAGAAACAAAAAAATGCAGCCAGTGTTAAAAAAACTCCATGTCCCAAGTCGTGAACCAGCCAGTGTTTGTTTTACGTGCCTGATATTTCAGCCTAGTGTATGAGTACAGACTTCCTGTAACACTTGTGGCTTTGGAAGCTTTTGATGGAAATGCCTTAAGCTAAGTAACTTTCTGCTGTGAAAATTACTTTTTAATTGCCTTCATCATTGATTCATTTCTGACTTGTGATGGATATGGCTTAGTGGCTGTACTCTGAGAAGTCTTCTATAACTGGTAGAGACCTAGATTAGGCTTGTTATTAATTAATTTGAGAGATTTGCAAACTAGCTTTATTGTCACAGGGATGTGTTGCATTAACGGGCAGACCGACTGTATGCTACAGAATAACAAGGGTGATCTTCTCATGGACACTCAAGACCTGATGTGTTGATTTTCTTTTTGTGGTGTATAAGCAGTTGTAGCTATTTTTACACTCTTCAGCTATTTATATTTGTGACCATTTGCTCAACAATAAAAATATCTCAGAATGTTTCATGTTGATTTGTAATTTACTTTGTAGCATAACAGCCTAATTAAATCCATTTAATTTATTTTAGAGTAGCAACAATTGTGGGCAATAGGTAAGGGCTTCTTGCTTTTACTTGTTTTCAAGTGACAGCAACTGTGGATTGACTGACTGACATTTCAAACCCAAATTGCTGCAGGAAAAAACAAGTCACCCCGTTCACTGCAAGATTCCTGCACCTCCATTTCATCTAGTTTTATTTAGTCAAAAACATCCCTGTGTATTAGGTCCAAAAACTCCATCATGGTTTTCCTATTTATCTATTTTTCCTTCCTGCCCTGTGTTTTAGGCAGCTTGTTTCTTAGATGTACTGGCAGAGTCACATATGAGTTATGCAGGCCATCCCCAATGAGTGCCAATAAAACTGTTATGTCTATCTATTTTATGTGTTTATAGAAAGCCAGTCACACAGCACAATCTAGTTGCTTTATACTTCATAATATCATACTGTGTTCTACATTTGTCACAGGGCAGGTTTTTTGATGGTTGCAGCGGAGTGGAGGGTTGTCAGGAAGCCACTTATGTCCAAAGATAGAGCAGCTTGAGAACTGCACTCACTTGCATAATCATGCAATGGTTCTCAAGGGGCTGTAGCGAATCATTCACCCTTTCTGAAACAGCCGTCTTCACCACTGTGCCAGGGTGCAAGGAAGGAGGCAAAGCTAAAATACCTCTCTGCTTACTGGGGAGCTCCCTAGTGAGAAATCCTAGCAGGGGGTGTCTAAACTGTTTCCTACTGCCTATGTGTCACCTGAGCAGTACATAGGGAGTGCAGTGAGACAGAGATTCTTCCTCTACCTGTCTTACAGGACATTTGTTTAGAATGGATGTAAACAAAATTTTCAAAATGTTATTGGTGGTACTTTTATTTCCGACCTTCCTGTAAAGCTTGTCTTTTATTCGCTACTGTACAGGTCCCAGAAGAAAAACGAAAAACATAAAGTCTCATAGAAATTGGTTGGGTAAGTTTTCTCCCATATTTCATTATGTTACTCTGGGAAGCTGTAAATTGTTGCCATTTGCCAAGACCAGTTAGTGTCAGAGAAGGAAGAGCAATAGAACATTACTTATCCAGATAGTTATATGGCTCATCACCAAAGTACTGAGCATCTCCCATTACTTAAAAGATGACAGACAGATGGCTAGAAATAAAACCCTTATGCCATTAAAATGGGGGAGCCTGGGCTTTACATGTTATAAAACTATATTTAGCCTTTATGGGTCCCAAGATATGGGACCTTACATATTTTAAGGGCCAATTATCCCATCACCATGAGGGCAAGAAATAACAACTACATATTATGAAAAGCAGAGAATCCCAGACCTTGCTCTTAGAAGTGCACAGACTCACGGTATCAAAAGCCGAAAGCTATAGTACTATACACTGAAAAAGTACAATGCTCAGAATATTATTTTGTTCCCAACAAATTTCAGCTTTGGGGGGAAAATGTGGCCAGAAATTTTAGATAGGAAACAAATGTTTTTGTTTGAAAATGCCACTGCAGTGCCTCACAGGAATAGCAATTCAAATGCCTCATGCCATCATTCTCCTCTGTGGACCCAGGCTTCCTGACTGGACCTCCTTATGAAGTATGGTCTTCTCTCTTTGGGAGCCACCATGGTGCTTCAAGGGAGTCTCTGCCTGTGGGTGATGTAATTTGTCTTAGGAGCTTCAGCTGCAGAAGAGAATGGGGTAATGAGACACATGAAAGACAACTTCAATGAGGCACCATGGTGGCATTTGTAAATAGAAATTTTGGCTTTAAGATGAAATTTTTCAGGTTCTTGGTGTTCAGCTTTTCCATGAAAATTTTAAATTTTCTGGGTGAAATTAAATATTTTGCAAAAAAAAAAAATCTTTGAAATACCATTTTTGTACCAAAACACTTTTGATGGAAAAATTTCCACCAGACCTAGTGAACAATTATTTCAGAAAAGGTGTAACGATTTTTACAATTTATTTATTTTTTCCTCTCAAAGTAAGTACAGCTGGACACATGGAAATAAGGGAGTCGCAGATTTATATGAAAAAAGTCTAACACTTGCTAAAAGTTTTCTAAAGTAGCTTTTCCTGCTAAATGTGTGGAATATATAGAATAATATTTGATGTGGTTATTTTACTGACACACATTTGGGCTTTCTTGCTCTCAGAAGCTCTGACTAACCAGCCAGGTAGTAAATATGGGACAATTTAGTTACTTTTACCAATGAACTTTCTGAAGTCTGTGCATTCGTAATACACCCTTTATTTAGAATTAGAAGATTTACCTAGGTTGCCAGGGAGAAAGAGGACAATCCCAGACTTCTCTTACCACAGCAGCTTAGGGGCCAGGTCCATGGCTGATGCAGGTGCACTAGACACAACTGGGAGAGGGATGCATGTAACCCAGCTGGGAGACAGACACACCGACAGCCAGACAAACTCTTTCATATATGTTAGATAGTTGTCAGTTTCTCCACCTCAGTCCCATGCTGCCCCAATTGGGTTATAGCTAACCCGGTCATAAGAGCATAAGAACAGCCAAACTGGGTCAGACCAAAGATCCATCTAGCCGAGTATTCTGTCTGCGGACAGTGGCCAATACCAGATGCCCCAGAGGGAGGGATCACAATGGGTAATCCTCACGTGATCCCTCCCCTATCATCCACTTCCAGAAAAACAGAGGCTAGGGATTCCATTCCTACCCATCCTGGCTAATAGCTGTTGATGGACCTAACCTCCATGAATCTACCTAGCTCTTTTTTGAACCCTATTAAAGTTCTAGTCTTCACTGTATCCTCTGGCAAGGAGTTCCAGAGGTTGACTGTGCACTGAGTGAAGAAAAAACCTCCTTTTGTTTGTTTTAAATCTGCTGCCTATTAATTTCATTTGGTGACCCCTAGTTTTTTTATTGTAGGAATAAGTAAATAACTTTTCCTTATTCACTTTTTCCGTAGTCATGATTTTATAGACATCTATCCTGTCCCCCCTTAGTCTCCTCTTTTCTAAGCTGAGAAGTCCAAGTCTTTTTAAACTCTCTTCATATGGGACCCGTTACAAACCCCTAATAATTTTTGTTGCCTTTTTCTGAACCTTTTCCAATGCCAATATATCTTTTTTGAGAAAAGGTGACCACATCTGTACGCAGTATTCAGGCAATAAGTTATTTTCTGTCTTATTCTCTATCTATTTTTTAATGACTCCTAACATTCTATTTGCTTTTTTGACTGCCGCTGCACACTGCATGGATGGTTTCAAAGAACTATCCATGATGACTCCAAGATCTCTCTCTTGAGTAGTTGTAGCCAAATTAATTGCCATCATATTTTACATATGATTATATTTTCCAATGTGCATTACTTTACATTTATCACATTAAATTTCATTTGCCATTTTGTTGCCCATGTCAGTCCTCATCTCTGGTCCCGTGCTACCTCCTGTGGTTATTCTACAGTACAGCTGTTCCTACTAGCAGACCCTTCCCTTTCCATTTTATGAGAAACAATCACATTAGAGGCACATCCTATTGTTCTGGCACAACCAAACTGTTATCTAAAAGCAGCAATCTCCTTTATTGGAATACATAAAATAATCCCAAAATGTATTGAAAGAAATGCAATGATTTAAAAATCTTTTTTTATGATGTCACAGATGGCATTGTTAACTGGGATGCTGAGCATAAGCTATTGAAACTTAGTATTTCAGAGGTAATTACAATAGCTTCTACTGGCTGGTGGCTCTAGAGATGAATAATTATTTCAGATGTGGAAAAATGCCTAATATTAGTCAGGGAGTAATTATATAACTTCAACCTTTATTTATTTTGCATGGTTTCCAAAACCAAACTACCTCTTCAAAGCTCTTCCATATATTTTTTATAATCTCTGCTATTTCCAGAACATGGCGATATGCAACATAAATTAAAAGACTGGATAGATAAGCATGGAGTTTCATACTATTCCTGGGAAACAGTGGCACAAATTCATTTGTATGCATTGTACTGAGCTGAGATCAGTTTTCTAGCACATAGAGATTTGGCTAAAAGTAGCTGGTTTGGCTTTGTGATTGTGTTTGATGACAGGTAACCAAAACAACTTTATCTATTCCCAGAGTGCAAAGTAATTTACAAGTATTTTGGTAAATGTTAACGTTTAGCATCTGTTATCCCAAAGGAATTTTAAAAACTAATAAAATAACAATCTGAGGGAAGAAAAATAACATTTTATAAACAACAAAAGAAGTCCCAGGCACAAGTTTTCACAGCCAGGTAAAGCCCTGTAGAACATCAGTGCTGGGGAAATGAATTGACACCACAGATATGTTTCTAGAGTATTGTTTTGATCTAATGTTATATAAATATTCCAAATCTAAAACAGAAAGTTTATGTAAAAAATTGCCAAATCCGTTTCTATACGTACTTCATTCCCAGTTCTTTGGGAAATGATATGCTTTCTACTTAATGACACTGAAAATTGGTCCAAGAGCAGAAAGCCAAATATGCAGCATGCATAAATGCTATAGTATGATTTGTGGGCAATTATTTCTGTCATCTGATATAAACATTATTTGAATGAGTTGTAACACTGAGGTTATTACAGTAATCTATTAAATAGCACAGTTCTGCAGATGTAAAGAGAATTAAAAGTATTTGTATTTTTAAATGGAATCTCTCTCCATAGCCCCTAGTTTTGATACATTTCACAGTGAATGAATCAATATTCTTTCAACGCTTGTTCATGACATATCAGTATTCTTGGATTCATTGTTTATGGAACATGCTTTTATTATTAGATGCTTTTATATTTAATGTATTGTATTTATGTCCTCTTTGTTATACCCCATCAGAATAACTGAAAGATTGCAGTTTTAATACAGGTTGAACCTCTTTGGTCTAGCATATGCGGGATCTGACTGGACCCGGACCAGGGAATTTGCCGTGTCAGGGAGGTCAATGCACTGGGGTCTCTCCACTTTTCATTCTGGCTGTCCTGCTGCTGTGTGGGGCTCTGCTCTCCCTCTTCTTCCCACATCTCTTCTGCCACCCAAGACTCCGCTTTTGCCCTGTGGCTGTGCCGCCACCCAGGAAGGAAGACTCTGTGCTTCGCCAAGAGGCCTTGCTGCCGCCCAGGACTCCACGCTCTGCTTACCCTCATCTGTCAACACTCCTGGCCCTACGGGGTCTCCCTGACAATCCTGGACCAGGGGTGTTGCCAGCCTAGGGAATCCCAGATTACGGAGTGTCAGCCTGTATTACTAATTAATTTAAACACAAAAAATTAGGATAAAGCAACAATATTAAGTTTCCATCGCTTTGATACGATTCACTTGTGCCTACTTTTCTTAGTTGGTAGGCCTGTCTCGTGTGTGTTGCAGCTTCAAAGTAGCAATAACAAACAGTCCTACACAGAGTGAGATATAAAAGTCTAGTCCAGGAATGGGCAGTAAGCGGACCATGTGCCAGATGCAGGTCACCACACTTAGCACTTGGTGGGCTACCAGATGATTCATTCACCTACATCTCTGCTGCAGGGAGTTGCGGCCTGTGTGGGAGCTGCTGGAAGCAGTGGCCCAGCCTGTGGTGCTTGATGCAGTTCCCACTGGCCGGAAATGGTAAACAGCAGCCAATGGGAGTTGAGAGGCTATACCCGTGGAGATGCAGGTAAATAAATCACCCGGCAGGGTGAACTGCGTCCAGCTCGCAGGCCACTTATTGCTCACCCCCGTCTAATCTGTGGGAACAAACACATGGATCACAAAGCAAAGTTCTTACCTGAAAAGCTTAAGTCTTGGTCTTCTAGTCCATTTGAGATAGTCCATATGAATGTCCCCATTGGTTTATAATCCCAGGTCAGGAACTGTTGAATGATGGGTCCCAACTGAGAGCTCCAGCATCTAGACAACACTATGAGGGACTGAGTCCAGCCACCATGTCCCAGACATCCTAACATTCTCCCAAAATGTGGCCACTCTAGCCGTTGTTTG